GGGGAGTGCAAGTGGGCAAGTACCATGCAAATAGGGCGAGGAGCGATCAAATAGCGGCATTTGTTCTGAAGACTGGACAATGGAATGGCTTCAAACCCAGTTTCTCTTTCTCTCTGCCATGTGGTACCTTGTGTTATTATTGACCCTTGTTTTTGCAATGCAAGGATCATATAGCCCATCATTTGGTGTGGGCAAGGAAGTCCTCCTTCCTTCCCCAGTGAAGATTGTTGTGTTTGCCATTCTCCTGGTGTTTTCAAATGGAGATGTGTCGGGTGTTCAGATCGGCGCTAATGAAAGGTAACCCATCCATAGCCTCTGAAGCCAAGAAATCGTACTGTGCTTCCTTACATGGTGAGGATGCATGATGGTGATAATGATATTCATTGCAGCTGACGTAGCAAACCAGATATGGCTGGCCAACTAATCCTTCGCTCGTCCTTCCTCTTTGCCTCTGGGACTTGTGTGTGGGAATTTTGGTTAATCGGCTATCATCAGATGAATGCATTTTTGTCTATTAGCTGAACTTCGCTCGTCCTTCCTAATCACCACATGGTGATTGCATTGTTTTTTTATGAATTGCATCTCTTGTGCCCCTCGCAGTATGGCAGCCGATTCTCAGCTCTGGAGCTCTGCTTGTTGTGTTCAGCAACATGCCTCTCAAATGGCAACTGTTTCCCTTTGTTGTGCCCATTCTGACATCTTGCCCGTGCCATCTGGTGTTTCGTATTTGTTAGCACTGCCTATGTCTTTTTTATTCTGCGTGTGAATCGCTGTGTACCACCATGGTTTGGTAGATTCAGTCTTGTACAGTTTGCCTGGAGTCTGATTGCTGCTCATATATTCTCGGAGAAGACACCCGAACTTTACAAAGGTCTGATTGAATCCCGTTTTTGTTGAGGGGTTCCTTGGGAAAAGAGCCTTGTTCACGTACACGTACCGCTGGAATGAAGGGGGATGAGAGAGAGAGAGAGAGAGAGAGAGAGACGGACAGACAGACAGACAGCGAGAGAGAGAGAGGGACAGACAGACAGACAGACAGTGAGAGAGAGAGAGGGACAGACAGACAGCGTGCGACAGACAGACCGACAGACCACGCTCTGGCGCGCGCGCAAGAGAGAGAGAGAGAGAGAGAGAGAGAGAGAGAGAGAGAGAGAGAGAGAGAGAGAGAGAGAGAGAGAGAGAGAGAGAGACCATAGCTGACTACTTCTTGAATTGTTGGCTCACCTACTGGACTTGACCGCCTTTTTTCAGAATCTGTCTCGAACAATGATAATTCTGCTGTATTAAGAGTGAATGACATGTGCGCCACTGGTTTCTTTATCTGGTTCCACAGTGCGGGTAGTGGCTTCCCTCACGTCCGTTTTCATTATTTTCTTTGTGAGTGGTGAACACTGTTCTTTGTACTTGGTTTCCCGCACAAACACAAGAAATCAGCAAACATATCTGCTTGCCCCTTGTAAACTGACTCCCAACTAACTATCAGGTTCCCACACTTTCTGTTTTAAAATATTACCACGAGTAAATCATTTTGTAACTTCTGAAAAGTGATGCACATAATCATCTTTCTGGCAGAGCTGCATATTAAACCACCAGTACTTGGCCCAGCTATCGCCCGCGGCGCTTCCCCGTTAACGCGCCGCGGTATTCGGGCTTCGGCCTACCGGACCGCATTGGCTGGAGGCCACAGCCAAAATGAAAACATAAACGACCGACGGCTGTTCGGCACGACTTGGCGCGCAGGGGGCTGGAAGGCTCGGCTTCGATAGCTGGGCCAAGTACTGGTGGTTTGACGTTATGTCCATTTCATATCACCATCAACAACAACCTGACCGGCTTTCCACTGCTAGACCAGATAGTGTCCTGTAGTGCTGCATATAATCGTGTTTCTTCGCTTCTCTTACATATTTTTTGGGTTTTGGATTTTATGTGCATTTCATGCTTGCGTTAGTATGTAATGTAGTAGTGAAAGGCTAATGCGGTTGATTTTCTACAAAATGAGATTGTTACGAATGATCGATGATGATTGCTGATGATTAGTGATGAATGATGATAACTGGTGATGATTGATGAACGAGTCATGATTGATCGATGAACGATTGATGAACGACTGATGAATGATTGATGAATGAATGATGAAGCGTCAATAAGTGTTAAATCAACTTGAATCGTGATTCATTATGATATTCTGCATTTAATGAATTTGCCAGCTCGGCATGGTGAAACCTCACTTCATCATCTCCGTTGTCGGAAAGATCTTGGTGGTCTAGCAGTGGAAAGCCGGTCAGGTTGTTGTTGATGGTGATATGAAATGGACAAAACTATGATAAACATTTGTTGAAGGGAGGAGGTTTTTTATGATGGGTCCGGCAATGGGAGAAGACGCACAGGGGGAAATTACAGATAGAAAAGAGTTGCACGACAAGTTTCGGCAATGGTGGTTAACATACTTGTGTACATCATCAATTCATGATCTCGTATCGCAATGGTGAAGCGTTGTGCTTGTAAACTCAATGATGTTCATCAATAGTTGTGGTACAACTTGACCGCGAAAGATATGTCTGTAAAGTTCGTGGAAAAAAGAACTATTTCCCCAGTTCCTGCTCATTGGATAACAATAATTGAGCTGTGTGGATCAGTATGTCATGCATCGGACGTGAGATCATTCTCCACCTGCGTGTCTGGAGTGAGACATCACACTATCGCCGCAACTACCGTCTTCCCCCGAACACGACGCACCCTCACGGTCTCGAGCCTTTCACACCTACCTCGACAACCAGAGGTCTGGTGCTATACATCCTGGATGATAAATTTACGGTCTGGGTAGCGACTTTGGAGCACTTGTAGACTACGATCATAGCTGCATCTGCGCCATTGAGGAGATGGTGAAGAGCTGTGTCTCTTTCCAGTGCTGTTCTTGTATTTGCTGCATTTGATGGGACCTTCGCCCCAATCGCCAGTAGCAGATGAAACTTGCCAAAAATAGATGGGGGTTCCCTCTGACAAGGGGGCTGATTGAATTTTGCCCAAGCTAAAAAGAAAGTGTTCCTGCCTTGCTCAGTTGGTTTCGCATGAAGAGGCATTCAGGAGGTCGTGGGTGCAAATCCGGGAAATCCCCGGCAACCACCTGCAGCATGCTTGGTGTCCATCAGCTGAGATAGTTGGCTTGCTCCCCACGGTCGGGGCCTTGGCGGGGTCCTGGGTTCTCTCGGAGTTCACCCCTGCCATTCCTCACTGGGTTAGTTCCCGAGTCTAGTGAATTTTGACTGACCCTCTACATGGTAGATATCGGTGGCCCCTTCCTCCGGTGCTTAGAAATGGGTTGCAGTGCTTCGACATGTAGGTAGGTGTAATTGGGAGAAGAACATTGCTTAGTTTAAAAGAGCGAGTCGGATACCAATTCCAAATCACCTGGGGCCGACACCCCAGAACCGTAGAAACACAAACCTGATTTCGAACTCCACTGGAAGCAGATGAGTCAAATACCATGATTCTGAATTGGGTGGGGCTGGTCAGTTCGACGATCATACCTCAAGCTCGTCAGACCCCCAAAAATTGGCGGTGTACCTTACCATGGTCAATGCTTGGTCGTGAAGAAACGGCCTGTCCACTAACCAAGCTGTTGCTCCACGACCAAGGATCATCAAGTGGAACATGGAAATGTACACCGTCAGGTTTTTTTTGTCTTTTGTGCATGTGCAGGGTTGCGGAGCAAATCCCGAGATATAGCCAAATTATTGTCCTTTGTGCATGAGGGCAATTGTTGAGTCAGCGCCTGGCCCCCAATAGGAGAAAGAATCCTTCCCTAGAACATGGAAAGATCCACCGATGACAAAAGAACACAAAAAAAAGGGCATAGAAGAGATCCAGGGGGGAACTCGGCAGCTAGGTGGATCTACAGGATCCCAAAAAGATACAAACCTGAGAATGATTCCTCTGCGATGCACCGTCATTTTTTAATATTTTGGAAAACTCTGAGAAGCACAGACAATTAACGTGCTCTAGTCAGAAAGCAGCAAAAAAAGGTGAAATGACACTGCGCCTACAACAGACGTGACACACACAGCACTTTCCTAAATGTATCGTGCGGGAATCGCATCTAGGGCCAAAAAAGCCCTGCTCCGTGTATACCTCTTGCCGCTATGTACTTGTATTCGAACATGCGGTGAGGGATTCGACTGCCCTCCTTCAAAGCCGCACGCACATAAAAAAGAGGAAAGGGCTGCACAAAAACAATGAGCGTATCTGCTGGACTTTCCCCGGTGTCCCTGCGGTTTTCCCAAGACTGGCAGCTGGGCCTCGTAGGAGTGTAACGCGGGACCCGCTGAGGTCTTTACTAAGAGTATGTAGAAAAAATGTTTATGCCTTGCTGATTTCATCTTGTTCTTATTTTCGAATCCGAACTCGGAATAAATGCCAAAATTGGATATGACGACACCAAGTGTCGCCTTGGAATGCTCCAGTTGAGAAATCTACCTTCAGTGTTTCTCAATGTTGTACATGACGGTAGTGAAAGCCGCGAACGCAGGTGAGCGCACGCGCACGAGAGAGAGAGAGAGAGCAGTTACAAATACATTAGAAATTGGACATGACGAACTGTCGATGCAGATGAGCTTCTGGCCATTCTAACCACCTCTCATTGGGAGATGGTCATTTGTCGCGGCCGCTCTGTATCAATAACAATCTTTACTAGATAG